CCTGTGGGTGTTTAATAAGGAGACCTGGGAGTGTAGTGGGCTGCAAATTGAGCTGCTCGTCACAAGGTTAGCTGTTTGAAACCACCAGCCACACAGGGAGAGAAAGATGAGGCTTTGGACTCCTGTAGAGAGTTACAGTCTTGGAAACCCACAGGGGTAGTCCTACCTTGTCCTATAAGGTTGCCATGGACTCAATCAGGAAGGGGCGCAAATGGTTTATGCTTGACTGCTCATGCCAAGGTTATCAGTTCAAGCTCCGCAGTATCCTAGAAGAACCACCTCTATTAGTAAAAAACAAAACAAAACACCCCACACTGAAAAAACCCCCACAGAACTAAAAACATCACAACTCACTGCAGCTGAGTTCATTCTGACTTACAGTGACCATAACGTGGTTCTACTGGACAGAGTAGAACTGCCCCTTTGGGATTCCTAGACAGCCTCATCTTTCTTCTCAGAGCGGCTGGTGGGTTCAAACCGTCCACCTTGCCGTTGGTTGCTCAATATGTAGCCCACTCTGCCACCAGGGCTCCTGATAGCCATGAAGAATCTGATGGTTCCACTCTGTAACACACAGGGCTGCCCGGTGCTGGAGTCGACTGGGCTGTACCGGATTGGCACTGCTGTGCCAGTGACGCCATCTCTTGTCAACTTGCGTGAAGGGGTGGAGTCTGGCCTGTCAATCAGGTCGCAGCTTGATGACCTCATCTGGAGGCGCGGAGGAGATAAATAGCTCCCTGGAGGCCAGACCCACTCTCTCTGCCTTCCCTTTTCTGCTGTTGAGACACTCAGAGAGCTGGAGGAGACACATGAGACTGGTGCCAGTGTTGAGATGCCTCCGCTGTCACCGGATCCACAAGACCTTCCGCCCACTGGCTTGTGATCTTCCTGCACTTGGCATCATTGCATGTACTACGTGAGTCTAAAGAGGAACTTAAGGACTAGTATTGGACAGATGGGCTAATATCTGACTTATGGACTTGATCTGGACTGGGCTGGGCTGTTTTCTCAATATACAATTGCTCTTTGATATAAACCTCCTTCTTATACACGTACGAGTGTCCATGAATTTGTTTCTCTAGTCAACCCAGACTAACACAGATGCTAAGAATCCATGCACTTGAATCATGGCGCTGGCCAAGAAGACCACGGACAGCCAAAAGAACCACAGATCCATCTTGGAAGTCCAGCCAGAATGCTCCTTGGAGGCAAGGATGATGACGCTTCCTATCACATCCTTTGGACATGTGGTCAGGAGAGACTGGTCCCTAGAAAAGGACATCGCACTTGGCAAAGTGGAGGGGCAGCGGCACAGGGAAGACCCTCGACAAGATGGATTGACGCAGTGGCTGAAACCATAGGCTCTGACGTAAGAACAACAGTGAGGATGACCCAGGACCAGGCGATGTTTTGCTCTGTTGTGCATAAGGCTGCCATGAGCTGGCACCCACTGGATGGCCCCTAACAACAGGGAGGGCCCCGGGTGGTGCAAACAGTTTGCACATAAGGCTGCCATGAGCTGGCACCCACTGGATGGCCCCTAACAACAGGGAGGGACCCGGGTGGTGCAAACAGTTTGCATTGGGCTGTCAGGGAGCCCTGGTGGGGCAGTGGTTACGAGTTGGGTTGCGATCTGCGTGGTCGGCAGTTCAAAACCACCAGCAGCTCCGAGGGAGAAAGACTGGGTTTTCTGCTCTTATCAACAGTTCCGGTCTCGGAAACCCACAGGGGGTCACTACGAGTCAGCACTGACTTGGTGGCCAGGAGTGAGTGAAACAGCCTAAAGGGTGGAGGGCCACACACACACAAGGCCTGGCCATCTGCTTTCATCAAGATGGCCCTGTGGGGCACAGTCCCGCCACGGGGCATGGGGGTTGCCGTGAGATGGAATCGGCCCCATGGCAACCCGTTTGATTTTTCTGAACATCCCCATTTCGTGGGGGATTAGCTGCGTGGGTGGGGAATAGGAGCTCGATTTGAACCCAGTGATTTCACTTACTCTCAGGGCAAGTAAAGCCCTCATGGGAGGCTTCCACCCCGTGTTAAGAAGTAGGAAGTCAAGGGAAAGCTTAGGAGCAGAGGGTGTGTGTGTGTGGGTGTGCGCGTGCGCGCATGCACGCACGTGTGTGGGGAGGACAGGGGTGGCCGAGGCTGGGTCAGCTGCTCTAAGGACAACGGGAATGTAGTGCTGGGCCCAGACCCTCGTCTGGGGGCAAGAAGGTACAGTGTAAAAGCAGGCAGCAGGGACGGGGCCTCAGCTCCCTGCTGGCCCCAGATGGGCGTGGGAGGCCTGCCTCCTCCTCCCTGCTCTGTTCCTGGGCCCCAGCTGAGTAGGGGGAAGACAGGGGAACGGGAAGATTCCCCCCTAAACTTTTCTTGGAGTTGGATAGCAGCCCCGACAATGAGGCTGGACCAAGAGAAGGGACGAGGGTCCTTAATGACCTCCTGATTGGGCACAAGGCCCCCACAGCCAAGGGGAAGCCAGATTGGAGGGCAAGGGTCCAGGCCAGCTCAGCCATGGCCTTGCTGCTACATGCTGTGGCCAGTCCCTTTCTACTCTGAGTCTCAGGTGCCCTCTTGTCCATCGAAGAGACTAGAGCCCCCGCTGCCCTCTCCTGCTATGGCTCAGGGGCTGCTAGGCTGGCATTTCTCTGGGACATGGCATGTGGCTGTGACAGTAGGTGACCGGAGGTGTGGGTGAGAACACTCCTGAAGGATCCTTGGTGCTGGAGAGCGACTCTGAGGGTGGGACGCTCAGCGTGTGACACAGCGAGGGAGAGGGTGGCAGTCAGTACATGTGTGCCTGGGCCCGTGTGCATGCCGGTGTATGTGTAAGGTCACAGGGAAAGACCCCTGGTTTGGGAGCCAGACTGTCAAGACTTGAATCTGTCTGCGGCATTAGCTAGCACTCTGTGCCTCCCTCCGCTGGCTCAGCTGAAAAATGGGGCTAATCCTCGTGCGCGGTTGAGTTGATTCCGACTCAGAGTGACGCCATGTGACCGAGCGGAACTGCCCGTCGGGTTCCCCGGCTTGCCATCTTTACAGGCTGCCAGTTCTTTTCTCCTGCAGAGTGCCTAGGTAGGTTTGAACCACCACCTTTGGGTTAGTAGTTGAGAGCACTTCACCATTGCACTGCAGGGATAAGACTCACGCAGACTCGCTGCCAGCAGCGGGTGGATTCTGACGCATTACGACCCTGTAGGACAGAGTAGAAGTGCCCCTGTGGGTTTCCGAGACGGCCGACAACTTTTTAGGGAGTAGAAAACCTTGTCTTTGGCCCATGGAGCCAACGGTGGTTTCGAACAGCTGACCTGGTGTGTTATCAGCCCCATGCCTAATGTGCTACACCCACAGGCTACTCACAAAGGCGGAAGCCAAGTGTGGTGTCAGGCTCAGCTCTTTCCCCTACTCAGCCAGCCCAGACTTTGAAGAAAGTCCCAGCCCGGAGTCCTTTTCGGTGAGCAGCCCAATGCGGAACCACCGGGCCACCAGGGGAATAATCCGAGCCCCTAGCTGATGCATTGTGGGAGAAAGAGGAGGCTTTCTGCTTCTGTGAGGATCTGCAGCCTCAGAAATCCACAGGGACAGTCCCACCCTACGGAGTCACTGTGAGTTGGAACTGACTGGATGGTCAGGAGAGCTAACAATGCACCAGGGATCTGCCAACAGGATCGAATAAGTCCGTGAGTATGCAGTGCTTTGAACAGCCTCCGGCACATGGCAAGCCCTGCTGCTGTCCTCCGTGCCGTGGAACCGAGTTTTGACTCATTTCACTTCCACGTGGTGGAGGAGATGCGTCCCATTGGGTGTTCGAGGCTTTAATCTTTACTGAAGCAGATTGCCCGATCTTTCTTCTGCTCTGCCACTGGGCTCGAACCACCGGCCCAGAGCTTACCTGGTGTGTCTCCAGGGCCCCTGATGGCAAGCTTGGCATTCTTAGTGTATAGCCGTGGGGGCTGCCTAGGAGTGCCCGCTCCTTGGGTGAAAACTCTAACGCTGTAAGAGCAGTAATAATAATAGTGACGTCATTGCTGTCCATGTGCTGGCAAGCAGCACGGCATTAGCTCACTGAATCCAGGGACTGCTCTGACGGTATCTCCGGTATCTCGTTTTCGAGGTGATGC